TAAAACAATCTTGTAGTTTTCCGAGGAGGATCCGCCAACTGCAGAAAAAAAACCACGTCCGGGAAGGGCCGATGTCGCCGCTCCGTCGGAGCTACTTATCCTGCGACCGTCTCGTGCGTCCGCAGAAGCAGAATCCGGCCACACAAGGCACGCTTGCATGGCGAATGAGAAGGCGATCCGAACGGGGCCCGATAACACTATCGCTTTCCACTCTTAAAGGGATACTACAACGAAATTCCGGCGCTTATTTTTTGGTCTATATGTGTTCAAATGAGTAGTATCACATCGAACATACCGATATCCTGTTAAAAAAGTCTCGAAAAGAAATTTTAAATCGAATTAAACGATTAGCAAAGAGCACCTGGTGGACGTCGCTAACGCCTCGTTTGTAATGCTCGTCTAGGAAACTTGACAGCTAGTGACGGAGGTTGTCTCACCTCCGGCCACGACGAAAGAAGCGGGGAAGGAGGAACTCCCCTCTTTCCAAGAATGCCTTTTGTGTGTCGCAGAAGTCGCTATTGTCCCCCTACAAGATTATAGAAGATTAACCCGTCACTCAAAATTCGTACAAAAGCAGCCGCTTCGGTGGCTGGAACGACTAGGCCATCCTTTCGACGCCATCCTCGCCGTAGCTTTGCTCGTCCTGAGACGACCTACGTCACGATTGCGTTAAATGTCACGTGGTCTCCGCTGGGCCTTCTCCGAGCGCTTGCCAGAGTGGGCCGTTTATGACGAAAAATACAGCCACCAGGCTCAAAATACAAACGTGCGATTGTCATTTACGGATATTGTGGATCATATACAACCTATTTTTGAACACGACGGGAATATTTCAAAATTCGTTGAAGTATCCCTTTAAAGGCGAAGCTTAAGCGTCCCCAATTTTTTTCATATATATCTTTATTCCATGAAAGGTATATATAATAAAAAGAGCAGATCAAACTAGACGTCCAAACATTTTTGCATATATGCATCCTAAGATCTCATATACGAAGCGCGTTTATTCGGCATTAACGTTATGGCATATTTCACAGTTCGACATGTGATTGAGTAGGTAGTGGTACACAAATACAAACACAAAAAAAAATTGGATATAATAGTCTCCAGAAATAGATTAGCTTTTCAGGTGATATAGATATTTACGAAAAAATACGGGGTTGAAAAAAAAAGAGACACACGGAAAAAAAAAAGCTGAAAAATCTCTCAGCCCTAAACATGCTTCCAACAGTGGACAGCAGTCAGGTTCTACAGGTTGTGCTGCTTAAACGCTGCGAAGTTAGGCTATCCGCTCCACTTAAGTTTTGCTGCGCGTGGTGGTTCGGCATGTCTGTCAATCATTCTGCATTTCCACAAAATGCGGAGGCCTAGTAACACGATTATGTTGTATGGAACAGTTTCATATATTGAAAAAGGAATGAAGCAAATACATTATTCGGTGATGCCGAGGTCTTCTTTTCTTTTCCTTTTTAGCGTTTGTTGCAGAACGTTCTGGAAGAATGCGCCACAGCACTGTCAATCCGCTTTATTATTCGGTATATTTGAGAAAAAAGGGGGAAAAATATGTTTATGAGTTTTGTGTTGTACCCGCTAGATGGCCGCAGTTGCTGTGACGTCGCGTTAGAAAATCCTGTGCCATTCTTAATTAATTAAAACTTGATATGAAATTAGCCCTTGAAATTAAAAGCCATTGTTAGGTGGCGCAAGCCGCCGCCTGACAATAAAAGTGTTCAGCCGCATCCATTCATCCAGTACAACCTAGAAGATGGTCCTGTGCCTTACGTCATCGTTAGTGGATCCGTGGTGGATTCCTGAGCCGCCCAAGAGTCTGAGCCGCCCCGAGCGGAAAACACGCTAAGCTTCGCGAGAGTATACGGTGCAAGGCGGCAGACGGGGGTGCCTTGGCGTCGCCGCGTGTTAGCGTCGCGCTTGTTGCGAGAAGCTCAAAGACGCGTCGGCGGCAACGCTCACGCGTCTCGCGCCGTTCGTCGCAGGGTCAATTGTGAGGTGCATGCTCGTGAGAATAAAGCCAAGAGACTTCGCCGACAACACCCCATGGTGCGTGAGCGCGACACCGACACCCAACGACTTCGCCGTGACTGTGTACACCATTCCAATATTTACGAGTCCTCAGCCAGCATGCGCGTGTTTGTCGCTTCGGAAAGCGATTAAATTACGTGCCATACGCACGAGCACTGAAAGTAGAACAGGCCAGGAGGCCAGGGGCTTTACTTTTTTAGCTTTTTTTTAGAAGGTGCATAGAGAGTTGCAAGCATGGCGCTCCGACTGGTTTCTCATAAGTGCAAGCACGTGCAGCTTTCGTATAAACCATAAACCTATAGCTTCGGCCAGAGTGCCTCAATGGCACCCTAGCTTCGGGAAGCTTGAAATAGCACGGGTTTGTCCGCACGATCGGGGACATGGCGGTGGCCGGTGGCCTTGTTAACAGTCGTCTATGCTGTAACGTTGGTTTTAGATTAACAGAGTCAGTCCTGTTTTCTTCTTTCTTTTTTTTTCTTTTTACATTCTGAGGTCCTAATGCTCTGGTTCCACATATACTACGTCTTACCTTGTCATAGACCAACTGCGAAGTCTGTGCAAGCCACGGTGGTGCAAGCGCAAGAGGCTAGCCTTGACTGCCTCAACTGGAGCACTCGTTGCACGAGCGCTCGCGCAGCCACCGAGGCTTCGTGTAAAGAAACTATTAGCGATGTGCGCGGCCAAAAGCATCGCTGTGGTCAGCTTTCCACGATTGGCCAAACCATGGGCATGTGAGCACTGTCAGATTGTCAACTTTGACGGTGTTAGTTTCAGATTGCGATGGCTCCTAGCTTCCACTGTGCTTTTTAAACACACCATTGAACTCGTCGTCGCCCCCGATGGTAAGTAGCCAGAATAACAACTGGTGACGTCACGGCGAGGCGAATCCCAGTCGTGACGTCAAGGAGGGAAACCATTAGAGGGCGCCACCGAAACACCTCGGCGCTAATAGCTCCAACTTTTAGCATCCGCGGCTGACTAACGTCCATGCAAAATTGAGACGCAGTATGGAGCGACAAACGGAAACAACCGACACCAACAAGCCTAAAGCACGTGCGGCATTTCGCGCGAATACCTTTGACAGGCTTGCAATATCTCCGTGCTCCTGACGTAAGCACAAGCATAGCCTCTTCTATACTCACAAAGCCTGGCAGTTCGACGACGGAGCCATAAGGTGCCCGTTCACAGATTTGGAGCACGAGGATCTAGTAGCACAGAGGCATCAAAGAGCCATTTCGCGGGGAACCTGGACGTCAGCACACAGCTTTTGCAACGGCGAGGACCAGAGACACACTTGTTCGCTCGGGAGAAGTGCGTTTCGGCGTCTACCCGCAGCGGGGCACCAGACACGTGGCTCTCCTATTTTCCGTTGTCTGCCGCTCCACATTTTCCACTTCGGCGGCCGCTTCTTGTGGCGACCTGCCAGGCTTTGCCAGCATATAGGAGGCTATGCTACTACGGATGGGAAATTCGGGAAGCCAGACCGAACCATCTTGAACAAATAGGTCTGTGCACTTTTACGTTATCGATGCACACTCGTTAATCTATTTGTATATATTTTTCTTTCTTCAGATCGCCTATTCATTCAGGAAGGAACAATATATTTAGGCTCTCTAAAGGCTAATTTCACCTCAAATCGGTGGTTTACAGGAGCTCAATTAATCTAACCTAATGTATGTATATCTCTAAACTCACTTCCGCAACAGCTGACGCTGCACTTTAGCAGCAGCTAGTCGGTGTTTTGGCGTCCTAAAAATATGCAATACAAACGTGCTTCAATGAACTAAAAAGAAAACAATTTCTCTAAGGAGCAACGTAGACATAAGACATTAGTGGCAATACAAAAAAAAAAAAAAAAAAGCCTTGTGGTGAGCGTTTCTTCTGATTCATGCGATAGGACTTTTACTTGGTATTTCGCAGTTACAGCATCGAACACCGCAGTTTACACCATGCTTCGCTTCTCGGGCGAGTGACGTCGCGCGAAATTGCAAGTTGAACCGCACCATGTGAACCAGGCTTTAGGGACCTTCGATTTCTCAAAAGAGAGGGATCAAATACAACTGTTTTGACTTCGTATAATTGTTCCCTGGTTTCTTCAATAAAAGTTCTCATTGTACAACGAGAACGTTCTTTCAGTTTTAGTATAAGAAAACCGAACAAAGTAGTGAGCCATAAAAAACTCGTGGCTTTTATTTATTTCTTTTGATAAAGAAAACAGTCCTTCGTTCATATTTTGGTATAAACAAATTCAACCCCTAGCGTCATTTTTCTCGGAAGTTACAGTGAGGTAGCATGCAAAGCGAATTTTCGTAGTTTATGCAAATTGATTTAAATCTATTGGGATGTGAACGTTTTTATCTTTAATTTATTTTTGTTCCAAGTGCAGGGTAAGGAAGATCTAGAATATCACATAATCACATACGTTCATGTTAAGTGGTCGTCGTTTCCCCAAATTGTATTTATTACCCGTCAAACTTCGTAATACCTGCTTCTAAATTATTCTAAAAATTCCCGACCTACTGTATGTCAGAACATGTGGTGAGGCTAAAGGCTTTTCGAACCACGAGAATGAATAGAGTAGAAGGCTGAACCCTTCTATTCTGGCGGCGTCTTGCGCTACTTAGCCGCAGTGTTTTAGGGTGCATTGAATAAGCTAGCACCGCTTCCAGGGTGTGGCCATGGATTGACTGATTTCGAACGGCTCAATCTGACGCAAACGGGCCACATTAGGTCCTGCTGCTTCACTGTGTGCGGATTTAGTTCGTCTGTCGAAAAGTCGTTTTTGTGTCATTTGAGGAAAATTCACTTAATGGGGCGCTTACGTAAGCAACCAAAATATTGACCTATTTTGGTGGGTGTCTCCACCTTAGACACAGCTCTCGCATTAAGGAACGATACGAAATAAATTATCGCTACGCCATGCAATAAACGGCTGTGTGCCGACATTATTTCCCTCCATGCAGGCTTTATTCAGGAAGGCATCTGCGTTCCTCCTGGCGGCGACAAAGGGAAAATTCTACTTCAAGGAAGTCATAATCAGTGTGCCCAGCAGCTGGCCACCAATGGCCCGAAAGAAGGTCTGGGAGGATCTGTTTAACCAAGCCGACGTCCAGGTGGCCTCCGGCTTGAAAGAACCGGACACTCTGAATCCGAGTCGCTCTTTTCCGGGGGACTTTAATCCGGTCCGGTTGCCGTCCGAGTTTGTCCGTGACTTGAACTCAACAACAACTAAAAAGTTTGAGAAACCAGGTGAGCGACTCAGCCGCTAAAAGGACTGGTTGTCAATCACTACAGTGGCCTAATTTTTTAATAACATCAAGCGAGCGTCGACCACCGGGACGACCAGTTCTGTGTCGCGGATTCGGGCGGTCATACGGGAGAGATTAAGCGCGAGCGCACAAAGCCCTTTCTGGTGGCAGCGTCGTCTGCTAGGCTATTCCGTTGATCGCACACAGCCCCTGCTCTGTAGCAAAGGATGACATGGCGCTTGCAATGTCGAAGTGCATTGCCGATACGCCCCTCCTCTTGGAATGCGTTCACAATTCTATTGACGTTAGCCTGTGTAACCCCGACTGTTGTTGCTATATCCCTTTGTGTCATGGCGCCCATCGACATTCTTAGAACACGTTCCCGTGTTTCTATGGGCACTCGAGGAAACATAAAATTCTGGAAGCGCCCGCTGGTCAAAGAAAAATGTGACAACCCGGCTACATAGGCTAGATGCCAACAGCAATGAAGCTGATATACAAAACACCAAGCGGAAACCCTGTGCCTACTCCGTTTCACTTTGCGTTTTACAGCAGCCGACGCTACGACCCACCTTGGCCAGTCCGTCGCTAAAAGTGTGTCACGTGGCAGGGTGAAAGCAGTGGATTGGTTTTGATGGCTCGTAGCTTTGTCTGTGGTACATAGTTTAATGCATCGTTGCATTCAGTTTGTCGCGTCAGCGTATTTTTTGTTTTTGTTTTTGTTCGTGTTCACAAAAGTAAACGCAAACATGAAATGAAATAAAAGTAACTTGAGCTCGAGATGACGCGCGGTTTACGCAACGCATCAGCAGTATAAAAAAAAAACAAGCGCTGTTCAGATATTTGCTTAAAGGCGGTTAGCTATGCCAGCAGATAATGAACAGGGGCTGTGTGCGGTCAACGGAATAGCATAGCAGACGACGTTCGGAACGGAAAGAGCTTTGTGCGCACGCGCCTAATCTCTCCCGTGGCGCCGCATTTCTCTGCGGCAGAGCGCTGGCCGTCCCGGCGGTCGACACTCACTTGATATTATTAAAAAATTGGGCCACTGCACCCTAAGTAAAGACAAACGCACTAAAATATACTAACTTTGTAATGTTATGAATCTCTCCCAAAGGGAGTGAATGTTGTGTTCACTGTAGGTATGTAATACACATCTACTTTAATGTGTACCGTACAGCTTCCAGACTGGGCTAGCTCGGACCCCACTCCTCAGATACAAAGTCTAATATTAAATGTCAACTTCTGGGTCTAAAAGTCTAGCAAGGTATTCTTCAAGTGATCATTTATTTTATGTAGGTACAATAATAGTATTATTTCAGTAAACGGGGGGGGGGGGGGGGGGGGGGGGCTTTCCATCAAAGGTAAGAACACGTTTTGTTAAAAAAGGTTCACAAGATCGGACATAACGGCGGCCGGATTGATCACGTAACTACATATCCTTGATTCGTCCATCTCCCAAGCGCACTCACATGAAAGCCGTGACGAGATGACGACAGCGCGGATGGACCGAACCACTTCGCGAACCAACAGTGCCGGAAAACGAGCTCAATGTGGCGCAGCTCTCCAAGAGCGAAAACGATGTTTGTCGCTGCGGTCGCAGCGCTATTACGTCTCGACGAAAATAGAGTCGTCGTGTTTTGCTGTTACGTACCAAGCAAGACAGGATACCGTAAAAGACTAGCGCGAAGCGCCCCTAGCTTTTCTGACCCGTGGGTGCAACTATGGTACAGCTCGAGGAGTCTCGCCATCGACAGTAGTGAAGCCACTGAACCCTGAAAATGAAGCGCTATTGCGTTCCCTGCCTCCTGGCAGGACACAAACTGACCCAAACATCGTGACGACCGAAATCTGGCAAAGCCATTCGCTGATGGTAATCGCCATTTCGTTTTTTTTTCCCACATCGAAGCATCAAAAGCGTCCCGTTCATGTCCGATAAGGAGCATCATTGCACTAAAAGCGATCTTTGCCAATATAAACGTCATTGGCACTATGTATGAAATTAACGGAAAAAGTGTGCTGATCTCCAGAGATATTTTACAATAATATTCTTCTTGCATGTTTCAAGAGAGGCAACTTGTGTTCCCACACCACGAAGCACAGATGCCGCATGTGAAGCGAAGCTGCAGGCTTGCTTGGCCAGTGTTGTGGATAAACAATCGGGGCATAGAGAAAATGCTTTTACAAGGCAACCTGTCACCCCAAAATTAGATCGGCTCACTAAGAATGGAGAGTTCGTGGAGAAACTGCTCATTATAAGGACCAAAATGCCGACCGTACGGGGAGTTCGGCGCTACTTTCCTCGGATCCAGAAGCGGCGGAGCCCTGACCTCGCGGAGGGGCGTTTTCAGATGCATTCACGCTCAGCTTGGTCGGGCACAACACTCCAGTACACAAAAGCCGGAAAAATGCTCTATATGGATCGGATGCTGAACGGGTCGGCCAAAAAGATCATGGCGTGCTAGACGAGTTTTCCGAGAAGCTTTTTCACACGGACCCGGAGAAGTATCAGAAACTGTAATGCGTCACAGACAAAATTCGAGCAGATCCGGTTGAGTGTGGAACTAAAAATCGCGGGACAAAACTTAAAAAAAAAGAATACAACATAAGGGGCCATCTTTGTTTTGTCTGTTTTCGAGCGCGAATCGAGCAGTTAAAATATTAGAGCGTTCCGGGGGTGCTCGAAAGTGTTCTTTAGAGCGGGAAATGGTTCATAGACGGCCACCGTATAATATACCATTCACCGTTTAGTCGTCGACGTTTATTCTCTTTGCGTGGATGATATTTAAGCAGTAAATGTTTTGATGGCATTTGCTCGTCTTCCCCTTCATACAGAGTACCATCTAATACATCACTGGGCCAACCACCGCTACGGCGTCTTCGCGGAGCACGCTTCCTCTCCCGACAAGACGCTCTACTGCAGTCGCAACAAAGTGAGTGTACGCAGCATACCTAAATTTCCCCACTGCCTCCCATGCGGAAACCATGATACGGCCACTGACGGCCTAAGACCGGATGAGCCAGCCTTCCAGCACGCAAAACTATCCTCTCAGTGACATACCAGATTCCCCGTCTGACGAATAGCTATACTTCGGAAAGTAGATGTTGCTGTTTGAGACTATGAACATTTCCTTTTTATGTAAGCCCCCTTTCCGTTTAAAATTGGGGCCGTCACATCGAAAGGCTTCCGTATGCGTGTGAGAGTGAGAAACATATGCCATCCTTATGTCTATCTGGCGCACATGGGTGGTTCGTCGGACGAGGCGCTCTCTGGACCTGCCACAGTCTTCCCAATGCTTCTTAAAGGAGGGAGTTCACTGAAAAGGAGATAGCTCTTCAGAAGTGGCTGCTGAGTGTAACCGTTCTCGACATGCCAAAGTGACGCCGGATTAGAGAGAGAGAGAAAGGCGCTTCGGGCAAAAATACAAAAGCAAGGCGGGCTCGGTCTGCCAAGGTCTTATGAAGGAAAGGGAAGCCGACAGAGGATCGCGATACAAAAACCGAGGCACCAATATTAGGAATTCGTGTTGGCCTTCATAAAAGACCAATCGTGTTTTCGGATATCGACTGTCTGCAGCGGAGCTTCGTTAGAAACACATCCCCCCTTTTTTTTATTTTTTTTTTGTGTTGTTTCGTTACCTTTAATACTTATGGCGGTGTGTTCAGTTTCCACTAAGCTCGATTATTTGCCGACCAATGTATTATACTCGTTTCTTTCAGCGAAGAGAAAATAGTATAAGAAGAAAGTAAAAAAACAAAATGCGAGCTGCAATAAATGGAATTAACTTTTCTTAAAAAGAAAAGAAAAATAAACAGGGAACAAATTTTTACTTTCTTTTTTTTTCCCTGCGAATTGTGGAAGTTCCTGGAATGACCAGGAAGTTGGACGTCTTGCGCTTTTCTCACGCTATTGGTGTTTTGTTTAACGCTTTTTTATGCTTTCAGGTGCTTTGTGGCTTGACAATCTCACGGTAGTACGCCAGCATAGGATATTTAAACGTGCACTGGCAAAATTGATAAACAAAAATACGCGATCCACAAGAAAAAAGTCAATACATATTATATTTTTTTCCGCATAGAAAGACTTTGTATCGCAGAAAGCTGAAATACCGCTATAATGTGATTCTATATTGCAGTAATAGAATACATATGTTTCAGGAAATGACGTTGCTCAGATAAGATTAAAAGTCACAAATATAATTGATTTAAGTACCAACATTCACCTGAGCTTAATAATTATCAAACCAAGAAAGTACAGCGGTAGTTAAACTTAGTAAACTAAAAAAAACACTTGTCGGGAAGAAATACAATGTGTTTATTTATTTAATTTTATGTATTTATTTGTTTATTTATTTATTCTTATTTTCAGTGACCCACCAACAACTTAACGCCTCCTTAGTGGTGCACTTATCAATGAGTCAATGAGTAGTAAAATGTTAAAGAGGATAAAAGCGGAACGTTAGGAAAAAAACAATAGCCTCAACACACTTTGGAAATTTACGCTTATCATCAAAAATATCAAGGCTAGCATTCGCACAAATCTGTTCTAAATGGTTTTAAGTCTATTGTAGGCGTGTCATGGGTGCAGCATGGTAAAATTCGGTAAAATAAAACGAAGTATAAAGTCTAGAAGACTTACGAGGAACGTGCAAGTAGATGTCACTGAGTAGCTCTGGGGAATCAATTATACTATTTACAATCTTATACAAATATGTCAGTTCACAAATTGCTCTCCTGTTATGCAACGAATCTAACTTCACGAGTTCACAAATCCTCTCATAACTATAGAAATAATTCGGCTGAAAATAACGATCAAACAAAACACGAACGAACCTACTTTGAGATCTCTCAATTACACCTGAACTTGTCACTACAATACAGTTCCAGACAACAGGGGCATATTCAACACGACTACGCACCAGTGAAGAAAACAAACGTAAAATACAAAGTGGTTTAAAAAAATCGCGTGTCGCTTGCGTAATGGCTCCCAGCACTCTAAAGGAAGCATTCGTAATAGTAGT